CTCCCACCCGCCGCCGGCGAATTCTGATAATCGATAAGCTCGTAGATATGTGTATATCGGCTCCAGCTAGCCCGTTTTGGATTTAGTTCAGCTGCGATCCATTTTTCACGAGTTAGAAAATTGGTGACTCGGTCTCGTCGGTTCATGAACCAAATAAAAATTAAAAAATTAAAAATAATAATAAAATTTAAAATATTTTTTTATAACCTGCGAGCGGATTCGTCTGGATTTTTTTTCGGATTTAATTTTTTTAATCCAGATCAATAAAATATTATTATATAATTATTATGTTGTTATTTTATTTTAATTATTAATTAATTAATTTTAATCTTATGTGCTTATTTATGTGGAGTTTAAAATAATATCACGTCAGATTTTTGTCCGTATTGCATCGAGAGGCTTATATTATATGCTAAATTTTATAAAGTATATATATATATATAGTGAGCGAGTATAACTATAGGGTTTATTTAGTAAAAAACAGGGTATTTCTTTCACTTTTTCCTATATATTATATAACATAAGACAAGTTGAAGAAGATGAAAGTGAGAATGCCCCGTGTTTAATTCTATAACTTATACGAACAATAGACCGACGTACAAGTCATAACGGTTACATAATAAAATTGGACAAGCGTACCAATTTTTGCGACGAAGTTTTAAAAAAATGTGGAAGGGAATTGTATGAGGCCCGACAGGACAGTCTTTTAAACGTATCCTTGATGATTGTCATTGGCCCATTTCCTTTTTCCTATTTTCAACTTCTGATTTCTGGGCTTTCTTCCTCCCACTAACACTGACCCATCTAATTTCGGTCTAGGGTTAGAATTCATGGAAGACGCACAGCAGAATTTCAATCTCCCTTCGCTCTCGTTCTTTCTCCGAATCTGCCTTTTCTTTTTCCTCTGAAACTGAAGATGGCGCCGATGATTCAGGGAGTGGCTGCTGTCACATTGTCCGCTGCATCAGGTTTCATTCGTACGGACAGATGTATTCTCTACACGGTTTTCCGATGTTCCTCTCTTTCGTTTTGTCGGAGGTTGACTTATTCCGCAGTTAGAGACTGCGACAGTTCGTACAGAGAACGATTGAGGTGTGGGTTTGCTAATGGTAATGTTGATGATGCCGTTGCTTTGTTCCATCAAATGGTAATGTCTAGCCCCCTCCCTTCAATTCTCGATTTCAATAACTTATTGAGTACGATTTCCAAGATGGAACGGTACGATATCGTGATTTCTCTTTGTAAGAGAATTGAATTGCTCACGGTTTCACATGATCTCTGCACTTTGAACATTCTAATAAACTGTTTCTGCCGCTCTGGACAAGTAGTCATAGGTTTTTCAGTATTGGGAAAGATCATGAAATTGGGTTATGAGCCTACTGATGTCACATTCAATACCATCATCAATGGATTCTGCATCAGAGGTAACATTTCCGCAGCATTAGATTTAATGGAGCGAATGCTGGATGTGGGACGAAAACCTAATGTCGTAGCATTTACTACGGTCATCAAGGAACTTTGTCTCCAGAGTAGAATTCATGAAGCTGTCACTTTGCTTGATCGGATGGCAGAGAAAGGCTGTCAACCCAACATAATTACTTATGGTGCTATTATAAATGGCATTTGCAAGTTAGGGGATTCTTCTTTAGCTTTGAATTTGATCAAGAAAATGGAGGAAAAGCATATGATGGTGGATGTCGTAATTTATAGTATGATTATCAATCGTCTCTGCAAATGTGGAAAAATAGATGGTGCACTTAACGTTTTTAGCAAGATGGATGATCGAGGAGTTGCACCAGATGTTGTTACCTATACCGTTTTGATAAACGGACTTTGTAGTTCCAATAGATGGAATGATGCCTCGCGGTTATTGAAAAATATGGTCGAAAGGAAAATCATGCCGAATGTTGTTACTTTCACTGGATTAATCAATTATTTTATTAAAGAGAGAAAGTTTTTAGAGGCGGAGGAACTATATGAGAAGATGATCCAAAGAGGTTTGGTTCCAAATACCGTCACTTATACTTCGTTGATTGATGGGTTGTGCATGCAGAATTGTGTTGATGAGGCGAGACAAATGTTCGATTCTATGGTTACCAAGGGATGTTTTCCAAACGTAGTGACATTCGGTGCTCTCATAAATGGGTACTGCAAATCCGACAGAGCAGATGAGGGTATGAAACTCTTAACCGAGATGTCTCAAAGAGGATTGGTGGCTAATACATGTGTTTACAACACTCTCATCCAAGGGTTTTGTCGAGAAGGCAACCTTGATGTTGCTAAAAAACTTTTCCTAGAGATGCAATATCTTGGTCCTCGTCCTGATCGTATAACTTATAAAGTTATGCTTGATGGTCTATGCAAAAATGGAAAACTAGAAGAGGCATTGGAATTATATGACAAGATGGAAAAGAGTGGGTTCGACCTCGATATAGTTGCACATAATGTTATCATCCATGGCTTGTGTAAAACTGAGAAAGTTGACGAGGCAATGGTGTTGTTTAATCTGCTTGTCTTTAAAGGGGTGGAACCGGATGTTATGACATATAATATAATCATCTCCGGACTTTGTGAAAAAGGTTTACTCGGTGAAGTCCAAAAGTTGGTCAGAGATATGAAAGAGGGTGGTTGTTTGCTGAATGATCGCATTTATAACACAATCATACGAGGTCATCTGAGGCATGGTTCTACATCAGATGTTATCGAGCTAATACGAGAAATGCGAAGATGTGGATTTTCTGCTGATGCATCGACCACGAGTATGATAGTAGATATGTTAATCGACGGTCAATTGGATAAAGGATTTCTGGATCTTCTCTCCTAGTGCCTCTCTTTATTTTCTGTCATGGAAACCACAAAGAGGTGAACTCTTCTGACCCACCTTTAATTTGTTAAGACCTAATTGAAATTTCATGTTTTGATGTTTCTTCATTACCGTGATGAGTTAACTTTTTGTCAGAGGATGGATCGGTTCGAGGTTAATTTTGGGTGTATTAGTAATGTAGTTTAGTAATATCTCACATTAGTTGGTCGGACAGGGGCCTAATATTAGACTGGAACAGTTCTTGAGGATCTTCCCTGTGTATATAGACACAGTTTTAGATACCTTTGCACTGTTAAATGTTAAAGCTATTGCATCAACTGAATTGGTTTCTGAATTGGCGCACTGATAAACACAGTTTCTTGTTTCTGCAGACAAATCTGGTCAGATGATGTAATGTTCGAATGGTAAGGCTTCCAAAACTGTAACTTTTCACATACTTACACATGTTCCGGGAATACACTATTCAGATGACAAGCAGCTCCAAACTCGTATATTCTCCTACTCCGACGCAGAGGCACCGTCTTGGACCAAACTACGTGCAGCTTCTGGTCAATGCTCCCAAGTACGCTCACCACAACCACCACCACGTTGTTAAGGTGAATTACTTCACGTCAAGGTATGATCCCGTTCGCCATGCAGAGAGGTATCCGATTCCACCTGCTATCTGCTCTGGAAGGCGCGAGAGGGTCAGTTTAAATATCTACACCACCACCAAATCCAAATTTTTCCGTGCATTCTCTTTGTGGAAATGTTCGCGTAACGATATTATGTATGTTTTTGCAGTGCATTATCGAGAAGGAGAATAGCTTCGAGCAGCTGGGGAGAGAGATACCGTTCTTTCACGCCCCAGACAGGTACTCTAAATATTCTTTCACGCCCCAGACAGGTACTCTAAATATTCTTTTTAATCGCAAAAGCCTCTTACAAAAACCGCCATTTCAGACACAAACTCATGAAATGCTCTGATCCTTCCATCCTGATATTACCACCACGCAAGAACGATTCATCTGCAGATGGATAGTGGCCTTGTCCGACCCTCGTATCACTCACGAAATCCGCTGCATCTGGTCTCAGGTTCTTACAATCCCTCTCCCTCAACGCAACAACAACAAACAATGTCCGATTTCTTTTAATTCCGGAAATTTTACCAACACACACCAAACCATTATCATTGATACGATCGAACAGGCTGATCAGTTGTTGGGACAGAAGTTGGGGAGCCGTCTAAACGTGAGACCGAGCATCTGAAGAGTTTAGGATGGTTTCAGGGTTTGTAGTTCGAAGAGGATGTTTGAAAGGAAAGAAGAAAAAGAAGCAATCCAATCATATATTACTATAAATATTATGTTTGCGTTTATGTTGTCTGAGTAATTGTAATGACAAAGAACAGGAAGAAGAAACCTTTGATGCTGCTTCTCTTTCTTCTTCTTATGTAATAATACATAAGAGCTCGAGTTTCATACAAAGGAATATCTGTGTACATATAATATAATCCTTCAAGAAATTTTTCTAATTTCTTTGATAAATAAACTTATTATTTTGGGTGCAATGAAATCATTGATAAAGAAACCTAAATGATTTTGGATAATGATAGATCTGCCGCGCAATCCCGACCCGAATGCAGAACAAGAATCAATCTTTGGACAAGAAGCTAAGAGTTATATGCGTGTATCTATCTATGTATGTATAGAGTTGATCCTCGGATGTTCATGTTCATGGGTTTCCATGCATACATACACCCAAGCACACGCCATGTCTGCACCCTCGGGAAGGTACAATATTTATAGATATAACGTATGTGTATGTATCGTATGTGTTTGTGTGTGTGTGTATATATATATACACGCAAATGTGTATGTTCGTTCATACATTGAAATGGAAGAGCCATGAAATGAAGAACGCAAAGACCATACACCCCAAGAGGAAATTAAGGAGGCGTTGGCCTTTCCGTACGCTTAGGTTCTCCGGCGACTGATTCCCTCCTCCGGCCACTGTCGCCTCCGTGGCTCCGCTGCTTCCCGCCTCAGTCTGCTCCTCCGTTGTCTCATTTGCTCCGGCCACGTTCCGCGCCACAGAGCGGCATATCTCACAAATCCTGTATATAATATATATATATATGACGATTATGTGGAAAATCAAATTATTCGGTTTTGGTTAATCTAAATTTGGTATTATAGTTATAAAAAAAATGGTATTATAATTTTCATGATGATTGAGAGAGACATACTTGTCACCTTTGATCTTGAACCAAGTCTCAGCACATTGTCTATGAGCAATGGCCAAATCATCCTTACAACAACACCCCAACTCAATCTCTCCGCCGCCACTTTCTCTCTCCACTCCCAACTGACAGATCCGACAATCTCTCACACCCGCCGCCGGCGAATTCTCCGACGACACTCTCCTCGATTCATTACAGTCGTTGGATCCTCCGGCGTTCGAGCAGAAGTAGGAGTAACACGAGCCCACGTCATCCTCGCCGTCGTAGAAGCATATGCTGACGTCACTCTCGTGATACGTCCCCTGTTCTATATCGACGTGCGGCATTGCCAAGATCGAAGCTTTTCCAAAACCCGGCAACAAAATCCCAGAAATTTCACGTGGGTTCGTCGAAATTCGGATTTTTTTTTTTTGTATTTTCAGAAATTGTTGAGATGAAGGGATTTAAATAAATGGGTTTGATGGATTTGGTGAAACCCTAATCTCCATTAATGCTCTGCTAATAAAAAAATCACATAAATTATTTCAACAACGAAATCAAAGAGAGAATAATGATATATGGGAAGAGGAACACTGGCAAGAAGCAGCAGACTAAAACTAAGAATAGAGATTTTTTTTCCTTTTTTATAAGTAAAAATAAAAACACGACGCGAAAGAAATGAAAATTATATTAAAATAAAAAAGAAAGCAAAAGACAAGGGGAGTAAAAAACAGATCTTCGTCGTCCTAAGCAGATTCTGTACGTCCGATGGTACAACGTCTTGCCATGCGTGATACGATGATAATATATCCAACGGCTCAGATTGCAAGATCATTTAGGCTTATATATAATTTATAAAAAAATTTAATTTCCTGATTTCGTGTAAACTACATCTGAAAACAGTTTTAAATTTAATCCAATGGACCGTATTTTCTTGAATTCGAAAACTTCAACCTCCTCTAGCAACATCCTTCGTATTATATATAATATATATATATATATATTGTGTGAAGAAGCTTTATAGTAAGTAGAGAATGCGAAACACAGGATTATGTCCCATGCGAAGGTGATGGACCACTCTGTGTACAGTGACGCTTTGTCTCTCCTCTTCCTTTGCGTGGGCAACGCAAAAGCTATCCTACATTCTATAATTTGTATGAATATAAATATTATGGCTTATATTACATATTTCTATATAGATATCATCTATAGTATACAAATATTATATTATAATTACATGTAATATATCAATTTAGAATAAAATTACAACGGAACCAAAAGTTTACATAAAAAGAATTTCCACGACACAAAAGATACGTCGAACAAGCAAGGAATATCAATTTATTACTAAAGTTATAAATTTTTAAAATTTTAAAATCCAAAAGAAATAAGAATCGGAGAAAAAGAAGAAGAAGAAAATAGTTCATGGACAGACCTTTTCTTTGTTCCATTCCATTGACTCTTTACCATATTATATTCTTCTTATTTTCTACACACATTTATTTAATAGTTTCATCATTTTCTTTTTTACAGCATTATATCTTTTTCAAACATAGATTGTCTGAATATGATATAAAAAAAAATACTGTATGATTCTAAAGATTCGATACCCATATGAAGAGATGGATCTAAGAATTTGTCTTATTAGAGTCATTATTTATGTTATCATTAGATTTACTTTTTGATTGGAGATTTGAAATCATATAAAAATCAATATTCTCATGGCTTGGTCAATAACTATATAATTATTCTTTATAATCAAATCCCTTTACTCTTTAGTTATACCATAAATTAATCCCCCCCCCCCGTCCCACATCTGATTTAATAATGTTTCAGGGGAAAAAAAACAAAAGATTCAAAGGTTTTCTATGTATTTTTCTCTATTCTCAGATGATTTGGATGTGCTAAAAAAAGATTTGATATATATATATATATATACATGGCTTTTTTCTATTGTTTCCTAATGAACCTTCTGGCCAGACAAGGAAAAGGACGGCTCGAACGCAGTTCTCGTTCTGCCTTAACAGTTTTATGTTCAAACAGTAGAAAGTGTTAAACAGAAACTGAGAGAGTATCTCTATGCTGAGTTTGTCTACTCATCCTATATATATATATATATATATATATATATATATGAACTATGATAAATTTTTTAGATATAAAATCGAATGAACTAATATACAATTGTATATCTGCATTTAATTTAATATAAATCTATTAGGTATGACTTTTTTAGAAACCTAATCAATTGAATCTTGATACAACTATGACAAAATATATAAATAATTGAAAAAATAAAACAAAATAAAAATTTATTTTAAATAAAAAATAAATCAAGTAGAAATAAAAAAAAAATAGTTTTCTAAACCGAAATTTTGATCTTTAGAATGGATGGTAAAAGAAAAAAAATTTAAAAATAAGAACGAAAGAACTTCACTCACGCGCCGAATTTTAGAATCGGCCAAAAAATGCCGATTTCGTGGGCATCGACTATGGTACACAATAATGATGCGCGTTAACAACACGCGATGTCAATGCGCGTGGGATACGGACGCCCAATGTGTTTTAGCGATTTAACCTTCCACGTCAGTGTCGTTGTGTTTTGGATCACAAAAACTTATTGGGCCTTCTAATACTATTTGTGGGCCTTACCAATGTTATATGGTGGGCTTTCTGAACGCAAAACTAAATTGAATTTTGTGTTTCCATTTATATAATATTACTCTAATTCATGAATATATTTTAGTATTTTTTTTGTGCTGATATGTTTATCATATAATTTTTTATATGCATTTTATTATAAATTTTAAACTAGTAAATATTTCGATATTAAAAAAGATGTGGCATTAATTGTGCAAAAAAAATTGAAAATCAATTATCTTGTCATTATGAAATCATTACTTAATTTATAAATTTTAATAATATCTAGGAAGATTATATAATTTTTAAATAAATGTAATACATATCATATAAATTAATCAAATTTATTTTATTTGTACTTTTTCATCATTTATTTATTTTATTGTATTTTAGTTGCCTATCTTTTTTAACAACTTGTATTACCTAATTTATTAATATATTTTTTTCTAAAATCTTATTATTGGCAATAAAATTTTAAATATGAAACATTCCAACAGCGTCCTTACTTTGAAGGAAATATTTTGTATCAAGCTTGATAGAACCAAAGCAACATGCAATCAATCCATTTCATATGCATAGGAAAAAGAAATTCGAAATTCGAAATTAAGCTTTTATTATTCTCGGCAAAAATGTGACGAAACATACCAAAATGAACCTCTCATTCTAACTTATATTATATCTCATATACGAATTAACCGAAGAAAGTATCAATCAATTCATATAAGGCGTCATTTATTTACGATTAATATGTTTATAGAATGGGCTTTCACATGGGAGCCGGAGCCGGAGCCTGAGCCATGTCGGAGACCGCGCCGGAACTGAGGATCTCTAACATCGAACGGTCAGGATTTGCCCGATGAGCCTCACACAGATCAGGTAAAAATGCACCTACATGCCATCAATCAATTAATCAACCCTTTTATCACATATAATAATTATAATATAATTATAAATCTAATGATACAGAATAAATCAAATACCTAAGAATATCGAAAATTAGAATAAACAGAATCTTCTAAAGTTATGAAAATATATTATCCTAATTTTGTAAAAACACATGAACGCTTGAATTGTCAAAAATTTCTCAATATATATATATTTCGATAAATGAATTTTCAACGGAAGAGTAGCAACAATAAAATATAAATTTTTTTAAAACGACTGTTAGAATATCTACATGTTGATATTCTTTCCATCCAAACAACTGATATAAAATTAGCAATTAAAGAAAATAAAATAAAAAATAAATATTTTTAGTTAAGTTGCTAACATCTTCGACCATATAAAAGCATAAACTCCTTTGCTTTGAGGGCAAGAAACAGCAGAAACAGTGTTCCACGTGTACGTAGAATCCACGAAACACACGAAGGCATGAAAGCAATTTCCTCTTTCACTTTGGGGCTTAAATTATGGTTTATTACGATGCTTAACTTCATTAATCGGCAAAGAAAAAAAAGAAGAAGAACGTTGTTATATAGATTCATAATTTTAAAATGGTTATATTTATTTAATGTAATTGCAATAATTTTAACAAATATAGTTAAATGTTACGACTTACAATCACTAACATTATGTATCCAATATTGTATTCAGCATGCGTTGCTATGTTACTTATATGTTACTATTATATGGTTCGGTTTATCACGGTGGAAGTTATAGAAATTATCTATCTTTAATAATATGGTTCTGTAAAATTTAATATTGTATCATATTTTGTTTTAAGCATATATTAGTTTCTATTTTTTACGAAAATTTTAAAAATCTTTTTTTTTTCTATCAAATGGTTTTGTGGAAAATTCACTCGTTATTGAAATGAGGGTTGAGATCCGTACCTTCGCCGACGGCGAGGTTGAAATAAAGATCGACGATGTTAGGGCAAAAGTCGTAACAAGCCGAGGAGCAAAGCTTGGCGGCGAAGCCCGGTTCGAGCAAAGCGTCCGACGAGATTCCGACCGTTTTCCGGTCAACCCCACAAGCTGCCACGCAATCATCCGTCTCCACGTGGTTTAGGATCCCCTCCACGTCGACCTCCGACGTCCGGCAGTAGAATTTTCCGGCGACGTTTTCCGTCTCCAACAAGCATCTTTTTCCGGCGGCCGATATCGAAAAGGCGCACGTTTTCGCCGGAAGATCCTCGCATATGATTTCCCCTATGTAACAAATAAAACCCCGTGCTGAATTTTATCAAAATATGAAACTGGCATATATATATATATAAACGTTGTGTGTGTATATGTGCATATGATAATGTTTGTAATGATACGTATACGTACCTAAAGCTGCATGGAGAAGAAGAGATGAGAGAAAGAGAGAGATTGGGAATTTGAATGAAGAAGACATTGAAGTTTTTTTTTTTTTTTTGTGGTGATTGAAAGGGAAGAAGAACAAAGAGAACGATGAAATAGGAAGTTTCTGGTGAGAGGGGCAGAGATCGCAGGTTGACGGGGTTTTGTGTGAGCATATATATATGTATATATAGGAGAAAATATTCGATTTTTAGTTTTGTGTAACATAAAATATTTGAGGAATTTGAATAATTAATTTAGAATAAATGGTATTCTATTAATTAATATATATTTTCGCGTAATCCTTTAAATCTTCCGTACACTTAACAAATAGAAAGGACACCAAATATGAAACATATCCCTAAATAAGGAAGAAATCTGAATGCATCGTACGTGAGACTTTTACAGTATTAGTCAATCTTTATATATACAGAAAATTAATTATAATGTTATAAATTCGGATGCAGGTAAATCATAATGTTTCTACATTTATAGATTACCAGTGAATATTCAATGTGAATCTTGAAAATTAACCGAACCCAAATATTTTATTACTCGTCGGTATTGGAAAAATATTGATTTTTATATTTTCCCACCTTATCATGAAAAATTGATACCGTATGAGAAATAATTAGTTTTTTTACTTATATATATATATATATATATATATATATATATTTAAATATGAGGCCCAATACCAAAAGCCCAATAGGTGATAAAGATGGCCAGACATAACTATCCAAGGCCCATATAGGTGAGATTGAGAAACCGATGGTCCAGATTTTTATAGAAATTACTGAAACTATATTTGCCGACAATGTGTCTACCATATATTATGATTCTATAGAATAATTGGCTAATGTTAAAAAAAAAAAAATTGAAAGAAGAAGAAGCCAAAATTTGTGAAATTTTAAAATTGGGATATCCCGAAATTAGATATTGATTTAGATAACATTTGAATAAATTATAAAATTGGGATATCCGCAATTTCACACAACAAAGTTACGAAATATAAAATACGATATTTATGAAATTAGATTTTGTTTATGCAAAATTCACATATATGAGTTTAAATTTTTTTATAATTGAAACGTTAGAGTACGAATTCAGATATGTAAAAGTTTCGAATAACTGAACCATATCAAGTGTCCACTCCCTTTCTAAACATTTATTCTCCGTCTCCACCATGAAATCTCTCTCATGAAACCCTAGACTTCGAGTTCTGCAGCATAATTCATCTCAATCCCGCTTCTTCTCTTCAATGGCGGATCTCTCTCTCTCCAGGTACTTCGCCATAACGGCAATTTCTTTCATTGCATTCTTCTCTGGAATCTCTCTTTCGGACGAATCTCCCCTTTTCTCCTTCCAAAGTTTCGGCAAAGATGTGAGCTTCGAGTCCGACATTGCTATGTACGGCGATGCCAAGGTCGTCGATGGCGATTCTTCGATTCAGCTGACTAACTCGGTGAGTTACAGTAGTGGGCGAGTCGTGTATAAGAATCCCATTAAGCTTGTCGAGAATGATCCCGAGCATCCATTCCCGGCTTCGTTTTCCACGTTTTTCTCGTTGTCGATGTCTCCTGGCCATGGAAGTTGTCTTGGATTTGCTGTGTTTCCTGCTCTGTCTGGTAATAATGGCACGATTAGGTCTTCCCTGTTCGAAGTTGAATTCGATACTTCCGCTAATGTCTCCAAATACGGAGACTCGAACGAGAATCACGTCGCTGTGCTCGTCGATGGCTCGGTCATGGAAAAGATTAGCAACTTCACTTCTGCTGATTTGGTCATGAACAGTGAGGAGAAGCTGTATGCTTGGATTGATTACCAATCTGATTCTAAAAGATTAGAGGTTCGATTCCGCAATTCAGGAGATGCCAAACCGATCGAGACTCTGATATCTTACTGGATCGATTTCTCAGCGATGGTGAAGGATAATGAGTTCATGGTGGGAGTTTACTCATACAACCAGAACTCTACCCAGACATACAATCTCCATTCTTGGAGCTTGGAAGTAAGGCGATTTCCGAGATGGGTGCACTCGTATGCTCTTGTTGATCCAAAAAGCAACAAACCCACATCGGATAAGAAGAGGAAAGACATGGCCCTGCAGATTCTGACTTGCTTCATTACAACATTTGGTTCCATGGCTTTCCTGTCCTTTGCATTGGTGTATCTCTGTAGATTCTTCCGTAGGGACAACCTCGCTATGGTTGTGCCTGAGGAATGTGGGCTTAAAGCCAAGGATTTCGAGTACAAGAAGATGGAGAAAGCGGGAGGAGTGGCGGTCAGTAAAGCTGAATCACAAGAGCCGAAACGAGTTGTGTGATATGTTTATTCTCAGTCAGTTTTCTTCCTCGTGTTTTTGTAAAGCTGTGATCTTTTTCCATGGTTCCAGGTTGTGCGATACTGTAACTTGTAACCCATTTCAGGAAATCCAAGTGCTTGTTGTGATATTAGTGTAACTCTTTGAATTGGCTTATGTTCTGAATTCATCAACTCTGATGCAGAAATTAGAGTCTCCTACTCTAGACAGCAAAACCCTAAAGGCCAAACAGCTGAAATCCAAGAACCCAGTCCCTCAAACATCATCAAGGGACATGTTTGAACAGATAAAACCCATTAAAGCAAGAAGAAAAAGACCTGTTTTTTAGATTTATCAGATCTCAGTGTGAATCGTACGGTGTCTGCATTTCCTGTTATCAGGTTTCAGATAGATAACGCAGTTTTTTCAAGTAACATCATCGATCTGATCAAACCCACAAGGCAAAGACTGGCAAAAAAAAAAATCGGATCTCAGATTGAATGAAGTTTATCTTCAAACCCTTTTAAGGAGATTTGCAGATAGATAACGCAGTATTTATGAAGAACAAAATATCATCGATCCGGATTTGCAAAATGGATCAAAGCCTCAATAAAGAATCAGATAGAACCAAGAACAGAATGAGCATCTCAGAAATGAAAACCCCATTGGTTTCTTCACTGCCAATCAAAGTGCAAGGATAACAATTTTCAATGATTCATCACCGATGCACCATTCCAAAAATTTCAGAAACAAGAACTCCAAAAATTGAGAACAAAAAAAAATGAGGCAACGTTCGATTGACAAGAAGAAGAAAAAAAACCCAGAAACCCTATTGAATCGATCAAACAAGTAAGCAATTCAACGAGAATTCAGAAGGGGGTTGTGTAATCGTCGAAGGGAAAATAAAACGACGTAACTATCCACGATAAGAACTATTGGTCTTGAGGAAAATTTATACAGAGGCGGCGACTGAAACGAAACCCTAATCGCCTGTTTGGGGGCGAAGATAATATTGATTCGTGAGATTACTAGTAGTTGTCGGGCCAAGATTTTGGGCCTTTTATTCTCCAATCCAGATCTAAGCCCATTACTTTCCAGACACTAACTGCGTGCCGTTTTGATGCTGGTTTCAAACCATACATGCCGTTTTAAACACGAAGTAGACTCTGGTTAGAGGGGTGGGGTGGCCATCCAAAACAAAGTCATAGTCTTTTTCTATTTGGGTTCAAGAAATTTCTTCTAAACCCTGTGTTTGTAGCAAGATTGGTGGAATAACGCTACAATGAATGTAAAAAAGATCACTGTGTGTGTGTTTCGGTGAAGGGTTTAGAGTAAAACCCCAGCAAAAATTTGCAAATTAGACCTTGAACAGAGACAGACCCATGTGACGTATAGTCCGCAATTTGGGGAAAGGGTTTCATTCAAATCCAGCAAAAATACCCCAACAAGCAAACTTCGGATTGACAAGAAATGTTTGGATTGAGTTCTAAAGATGTTAATACCTCCCAACTGAACTATCAACCGGAGAAGAGCTTGAAGACAATAACTATAGTGTTCAAGAGCATGAGGGGCAGTCTCATGTACTGGCAAGCGTTGATGAGACCGATCGTTTGGCCTTTGAGTGAGTTTCTTCTGCCGGTTTGGAGCTCTGATAATGTCCATCCTCTTGAAGCCAGGAAACGGTCTTCATTGAGGATCGCGAGTGCGTTTGCAAACAGAAGAAATCCTTCCATTAACGTCCAGAAACCCATGATTCTTCTCTCTGTGCCACAGAGATTTTTAAAAATGATCGGAATAAAGACGGGGGAGGATTGATGGAAAAGCAAAGCAATGGGCATTTCAAGCAGCAAGAGCATTGTGGAAAACAATCTAGAGAGAATATGATCTTTTTTTTCAAAAGAAAACGTTTATATCCTTGAGAAGTATGAGAAACTTATGAAAGAACACAAACCAATTTCAATACCAAAGTTATAAACCACTGCAGCAATTTAGAAATCTTGAACAAGCGTGGCCAAACGTTGATCCTCTCATATGATAGAAGAGATGGCAATACAGAATGTTGATCCTCTCATATGATAGAAGAGAAAGTGGATAAATACTGATCTAAGATAAATATCCTCGGAAACTAGAGGAGGGTTTCAAACAGGAAGCACTCAAGGACAGAACATCACTGATACAACAGTGCTTCAGCGGTAAGTTATAAATTACCAAAACAGAACCTAGGGCTCAACTCAACATCTGCAGGAAACAAGATCAATGATCCCAATACATTGAGGAAGATACTAGAATTGGTGTTTACTTCAAGTGTTGTTTGTTAGATTTCTCGCTTGATATGAATTACATGGGATTGGGAAGTTCATGTACTAGATTGGATTTCGATTCAAAAACACTACCTTTATTAGATCACGAGCCCTAATTTTATCAAATAGATCGAGGGTTGCTACCAATCTGACAGTATAGATTCCGCAAGACGTATTGAACCTTGATCACCGATCTCAACGATAGATCCACAAGCTAAAACCCTATACCAAACTGATCGATTTATTTCTTCATACAAACGAAACCTGAATTTAGCAACCACAAAAACAAAATTGATATCAAGGAAAATTACCAGAGGAGGAATCTCGAGTTCTTCTCGACGAATACGTTCAAAGACGATAATCGGCGTGGGAGTTCAGGCCCGGAAGCGGAAATCGGATAAGAACAATTAGAAGTTCGCAGATCTGCGCCACCAAAAACGTTGTTCCGAGAAGATAGACGAAATTCGGAATGGGCAAAATGGCTGTGTTCCCCTTCCCCTTCATATGTACGGTACAATTACCTTGCGCAAATTGACCCGCCCCGATAATTTAGGGTGGACCCGGATCGCGTAGAGACTCGGGCCGGGTCAGGACCCGGTATTTTATATATGTGTATGTCTATATAACGAAGGAAAATTGGATAAACCACGACACGGAGGCAAAAACCCATGGCTTCGTTTCTTCTTCATCTTCACCACTTCAGTAACTCGGCTCTGATCACGAGCCCTAGAAATGCAGCAGCTGTCCAGATACTGAGACCTCGAACGCTACGAACTTTAGGGCATATTTTCTGTACGGAAGCTTCCATGAATGGCGACTGTAGAAACGGAGCATGAGCGAGAGGAAGGAGATGAATCCGAGCTCGAGGGTTACAACGGTGATCCACCACCAGTGCTGCTGCTTCGGATCCGTATAGAAGGAATTCTTTCCTGTGGTGGGGTTGCACGATAACCCGATGCACCCCCGACATCTACACGCGGTGGGACCTACGGGAGATCAGGCGTGCTCCGGTGAGGACAGCCGTCGAACGTGGAGATCTCGCACTTGCGGCTTTGCGGGCCAGCAGCGTTCATGGGAAAGTTGGAGACGGCGATTTTGTGGCAACGAGTTCGTACTGATGAACAAGGGGAGAGAGTTCAGACGAGGGCTGTGAAAATTCGACGAGAATCTTAAGATTGCTTCTAGCTGAGCTTATCTGTCCTGAAAGAGGTAAACTTTCTTGACTCTGAAAAAGCATCAGTGGATTCTATCATATACAATTGGGGAACAGATATTTTGTTTGAGGAAGATATTGGTGCCTTCGTCTCTGCTCTTAGATCGGAATTAGTGTGATATGGTAATTGCAGAAGAAGAACAAAAGACATGGACAGTGTGTATGAATGTATTACCATTCAAATTCATGTCCAATGTACAATCAATTCTGAGTTTACTATGAACAATGTGAAGAAGAATGATGAGCAGAAAAAAATAATCCTACTGTTTAGCCCTGAAACCTCTCCAAGGATTGGATCCTCTGTGCTTTTTTACCCTTGGATTCCGGCATCAGCTTCATGAAAATTCTATGTTGATCATGTCGTGTCCCTCCCTGTATGGCGGAAATGATTCTACAAAATGTTCTAAACCTTCCAAGAAACTGGTATGTATACTTCCTGTCCTTGAATCAATATGTTTCAGTATTCCTTCCATCTCCTTGATTCTGTTCTTAGACCCGATTGCCAGATCTGCTCGGGTTGTTACAGATGCAATCAGGTTGAGGGTTTGCATAGAAATTCTCCTCCAGCCTCGGGAATTCTCCTGGCCTTCGCGGGTATGGAGCTCCATTCCTGTCTCTATGCAATCTCTTCACCTCGGAAGAAAACTCTTCCAAAGAAATCTCTCCCCCGTCAAAATGGTCTATTAGTCTAACGAAATTTAGCCTGAAAATCACAAAACATATCAAGAAAACACTATAGGAACCAGTCTCAGAGCAAAAAAAGGAAAGCTTTTTCCTGCTG